TTTTCTAGAAAGAAGGATCCCAAAGAATGGAAATGGAAGTTACCCCTAGACTTTTGGATTTGTCGCTAATTTTGAGAAGCACCCATCCGGGATTGGGTGCATCCTCTCCCGGAGCGAGGAGCCAGCAATTTGAGCGGTTGCCCAAGTTGCTTCACCATGAAACCTTCTTCAAAAGCAGAGACGGCAGCAACTAGTCCAACGGATTGTAAACGCCAGACACGCCAGAAGCGGAGCTGTATGCTTGCGGATTTCTTCTATAGAAAGTGTCCATGGCGACAAACTTGGCAATCCGCAGGTTCTGTTTGAGATAGCGCACCACGTAAAATAGAGCTGCCCATGACACCTCCGAGGGTGCTGACATCTTTGACAAATACTTGACTGAATACAAAGGGCGTTCTCCAACCAGGTACATTGACCTCGTACAACCTCCCATTTGCTTCAGTGCCCTCGGACAAAATGGAGTAGTGATAGATTCCCTTCAAAACCAACAGGAGACAATGACACATATTTTTAAGCAAATGGAAGACGACTTTCCACAGAGTTGGCATCTCGGGCCTTGCTCTAGTTGCTTTCACCACCATGCGGTGCTCAACATTTGGAACGAGAGTTACCTTTGTCTGCGAAGGTGCAAAGCGCATTTGACAACTGCCTGCGCGGTGCGAGCGAAGCACGCAGCCTGAACTTGCAAAAAGCACGGGCTGCCTGCATTTCCCCCTCAAGCTGCAACTTGCTGGCAGTTTTGGAGGTCCAAAAAAGGCAAATGGAGGACAATTTGGGCAGCTATGCAAACATTTGGCAGGTGACTGCTGTGGGTTCACTTGGTTGTGGGTGCGAAGTCAAGGTACGGCTGTTGCGGGTGTTTGTGCCAAACACACGCACCAAAACACACAAACGGTTTTCAAACTGCTGGTAAGACCAGGAGTTTGGGTTGGGACTCTCCCCGTTCAATTCGGACTAAATGGCTTCCTTTCTAAGAACCCCTAAGGGTAGATACTGCCATGTTCGCTTGCACGGGGGCCAGAAGTTAGAAGAGCAATGTTGACCCTGGATTAATAAACCCGTCGGGTGTTCCCTCCGAGAGTGATGAATCCCCACTAAAAGGCGAAATCCCCCGCATTAGTCAACCATGGGTTTATTAATCCGGGGCGAACATTGCGTTTTGCCGTTCAACAACCCCGGCGAATAACAAGGTCAGCCATATGGTTGTGAACATCCCAATCCCCACTAAAATAGGTTCTAAAATCGGTGGTGCACCTACCCCAAAACTCTACCGTGCCATATGAGTCGCAATCAAAACCTGGCACTAAAATGGTCTACCCAGGACCATGTACAGGAATAAGAAGGCGGATTTCCGCAGCTATTTATGGTTGGGACCGTCCCTTGCTGATCTTCATCTACCCGGGCTTTGAGCGAGTGGCTCATCTAAGCAGCAACAAGTTGAAGTCTGCAGATCCGCTTCCTCCGGGCAAGGGCGCGCCTGCCAAGGCGTCGCAGCATGCGAAGAATGCTCGCTGCCTGCGGCCGGTGTCTTGTCCGACTCCCGCGCATTCACGAATAAAAAAGAAAACAAGCAAAGCAACAAAGACACAACCACGAGAAAGAAACCAAAGCAAGACAAACCCAAACCAAAAAATACCAACCAAACAAACACAAACAAACACCCCAACCAGCAAACAAACTAACAAACAGACAAAAAGACAGAGAGAGAGAGAGAGGGACAAAACAGACAAACAGAGAGGCAGAGAGACAGAGAGACAGAGAGACGGACAGACAGACAAACAAACGAACAAGCAAGCAAGCAAACAAACAGAAAAACAAGCAAACAAAGACGCAAGCAAGCAAATAGACAAACAAAGAAACAAACAAGCAAGGAAGCAAGCAAACCCGGTTTCTGACTTTGATGACCCCACCAGTAAATATGATGAGCCCAGTTGCCTGGCGATCCGACATCGTTCAGCGCCATGCTTTGGAGGTCACCTTTCTTTGAGCTGGTTACCCTCCCATCCACCAACATGGAACCGGACGTTTCGTGGTCCTGGACTATGTTCCTTTTTCAGGGACCCTTTGGTGGGTTCCACCCTGAAAAGAGTTGTTTAAAACAAGCGGCGTTTGAGGCAGTTGCCCGGCTTTGATTCTTGGATGGGACGATTCACGCCTATTTTGCGGGTCCCATATCCCATGGTCTGATTTGTCGACCAAGAAGATACCTAATGGCAACCTGTCCATTCAGGGAGCGTTTTAAAAGGCCTCACAACCTGTCTGCTTCAAATCCATGGCACACTTAGTGGGTCAAACATATCTGTTCCCCAACCTGAACAAGGAATTCCTGTGGCACCCTTGTTTTGGGCGTCAGCTTTTCAAAAAAAAGGCACCACTGGAAGTCTGGGTATGCATTATGGCATTGACATAGACCTTGGAGCGCCCCACTAAACCACATGTGGGTTTCTAAAAACGGTCGAAAAGCCCTTTTGGTTGGTATTTAAAGGGACTCCAAAGGAAACCAAAAAGACACCAAAATGAAACATGAAACCAACAAGGCATTTTGACATACTTTGTTTAGAAAACCAAAAGGAGGCCCTCGGCATTTTGGGGGACCTGACCAAACCCTTGCCCGCCAAATTGGGCCTTGGCTTTCCGCGATGCTCGGCAGGAAGTCGAGACCGATGCTGCGCACTTCCATGGCTAAGTTGAAAAGTGCCGCAGGAGGCAACTAAGGGACCCATTAAAAAACAAGGGACATGGCTCGTCACCTAGCTCTTTTGGTAGCTGGGATCAATGGCTTGCTCTGGCGCGTGAAAAGGTCGATCGCCTTTTGTAGCTATCATGGAAAAGCCAACCAAAACTCGGTTGCTTTCTGCTCCCCTGCTCAAAGTGAATAACTTCTAATAATTTAACGCGGAAAACCCATTAGTTAGTTGGCAAAAAGTTAAAAACTCCTAGCATCCCCTGGCAAAATGCACCAAAGAAAATGTGTCCATAAAAGGTCTAAGGCGATTCGGACAGACCCTTGAGACCAGCCATGACCTGTACCTGGAAAAGGTAAGCCAAACGACCCAGTGCCGCTGCTCAATCCTTGTGGATTGATTTGAGGTTCGGAGCAACCCGTGTTTTCCCCGAAAGCTTACAAATATACTGGTGGGTTCATGTTTCAATGATCTGCACTGGGAAATTCAGAGACTCCTCTTGTATGGAAACAATACAGGGAAATTGGACCCCCTCTGGCGTTTGTGCGGAAACTTTGACATCCAAATTTGGTCTCCTAAAATCTGCTTAAACCAACCAAGAAAAACCATCTCCGGCCCCCTTAATCAGGGTCCGGCGAGTCAGCCAGCATGACTATTGCTTACGCAGCCTCCCTGTAGTTTCTCTTTAGAGGGCGTACAAGGCGCTGCTTATTTAAACAGAGCTTGCCCAACCTTGTTGCAAGCAGCCAACTTGAGGATCTAGCTCGGCTCGGGCGAAGGGCGTCGATATTTCAGGCAAAACCGCAAGGAATGCTGCAAATGCCGTCCCAAACTACCCATGAAAAGGGAATTCACACCACCATCTTGGGGCAACAACCCATTGTTAAGTTGGAATTTTGCGGGTCCAGGTACCCCCTTTTTTCGCACACCCCAACATGATGTCATGCCTGTTTTCAAAAAAAGGTGGAAATCCACGCCCCATGTAGGGTACACCCTCCATTGCATCCCAACCCCGGGGGAGGGGAGGGGGGGGGGTGGGGAAACTATGGAATGTGGGTTGCTGGGTTGGGTTGTCTTTAGCACGCAAAAAATGCTTTTAAATACCTGTTCCCTTGCCTCTTTGGGGGAAACCAAAAGGAGATTGTCTAAACTTAGGGGTGTTTAAGGATGTTTACAGAATTCGTTGGCTCCTGATTGTCTTCCTACACCCTGGCGTAGCAAAAGAATTGGATCGTTTTGCAGCAGGCAAGGTCACATGAAAGGGGCCAGTGAAAACCGCAGAAGAGCAAAGCACGAAGTGGGGGTACCGGGTTAAATGAGACCGTGCGGGCTACATTGTATGATGGCATATTTGCGCTCATAGTACCCGCTAACTTTTGCGGTGTTACTGGATCCAGACTTTTGCGGTGTTACTCTCATCAATTGCGGGTTACTGACAATGCTGGTACCGGGTTGCTCAAGGGGTTTGCAGGGTTAGGACTCCTAGCAGCTGCCAGCTAGACAGTTACACGCCTTGTTCCCTACTTGAGTGTTCGGCCAAGTAAGTTGTTGATAAATGTTGGTAACCTAGGTTATAACCCACTGACAAAGTCCCCCTAAGCGTGAACCCTTAGCGGGTTGGAACCCAAGTTACTAGCTTGGCCGAACATCCAGGATACTGTCTTAAGTTGCTCAAGGCCCTTATCACTTCCGGAGTGGGCTGGACTTTGTCTTGGCCCTTTCAACCAACCCAGTGGATCCCAGCTATAGCTTTGTAACCCTTCGCCATGTTCAAATTGGCTTTGAAAGGCTGGCAGGTTCCCTTGGCTACCTACAAAACCCGGAAATGGAGTCACTGGCGGGGAGTGAGCCATAACTGCATGGTTACAAAAGGCAACACGAGTAACAAGGAACGTTTCTTAGTCGCAAAAATTGCCGCCCTTTTGGGCGGGCGGGGGGGAGTTGACAAGCTTTGCCACCTCCCCGAACAGGAAAAGGAATACCGGCCATGGGGCAGTCTGTTTCTCAAGGGATTGCCCCTCCAACCAAAAAGGACAATGAACACACTACTGTGCATGGACGAAATCCCGCCCCACTTTGAAACAATGGCAAACCACTGTTTGCTGGTATTAACACGGCAATCATCAAAAACCGGGGTTTCTTCGGTGGTGCGAACGGATTTCGAAACCATCCACAGTATGACCCCCAAGAAAGGGCACTCTGAACCGGATTTCTTCTTCCCCGAAAGAAAAAAAAAAAAACGGCCCAGCCGCCGCTCGGATCGGCTGGGCTCCATCCGCCACACAGCGGTGGGTTTCGCTCTCTGAGGCCCGCGGCAGCGAGGAGCCCGCCCGCAGGATCCTGGACACCGCGCGGGTGAGCACCCCACCTGCGGAGTGGTCCGGATCAGTTTTCGGCACTCGCATGTCTTGGAGCGTTGGGAGACAGGGCCTGGTTTTGGGGTGTGGTGCCACCCAGTCACTAAATTAAAAATACCTTGAAACAACTGTTTGCCAACAAAATCGATCGTAGCACAGTTTTTCGATTTTCCAAGAGGCACCTAGGGCGCTATGAGCGTGAAGGCAAAATGCCTTCAGTGAGAACTACTCACTGACTGTTTGGTTGAGCCAATGGTTGAAAGCAAAGTTTAACTATTCTTAAGCAAATGGAAGCAAATATTCCCTTTAAAACCAACCAGGGAAAACGTATTATTAAGCAAATAAAAGCGTCTGGCGCCATTCCGCTCTCTGCGCCTTGGCTCCGTCCATCGTCGTCCGGATCAATGTTGAGATTCTCCATGGCGGCTCTCGTGGCCGCAGCCTTCCGCGCTTGCTCAGACCTCGGTGAGCCGAGCGGTTTTTTTTTTGGGGGGGGGTAATGTTAACCCCGGATTCACAAACCCCGGGGGGGGTCGGAGGAGAGGGGAGCGGGATTGGCCCTGACCTCTTGGCTAAAGAAACAAACATGCACCTGGGGTTCAAGATCATCAAAGTAATGGGGGTCTCAGTTGTTCAGTGACCCTGCAAAAAAAAGAATTGGAACCAATTCTTTTTTGGGCTTGGAGCATTTTGGTGGGGCGGCCACCAAAAAAATTGGAAAAAGAGTTGGAGCCACTGAACAACTGAGGTAATGCTCACCCCGGATTAAGAGCAACCCCTGTTTATTCATATTGGGGTGCCGGCCCCTCCAAACGTGAGAAATTCCCACTAAAACCAGGGACTCCCCCATATTGATAAACAGGGGTTTATTAATCCGGGCAACACTATCGGCCCTACACACTCGCCATGCCTTGTTGGGCTTTTAGGCTGTTGGGCTGTTGGGCTGTTGGGCTGCTGGGTTGTGTTGGGCTCTGTTGGGCTCTGTTGGGCTGTTGGGCACTACACCTAGGTCCTCCAGAATCGAGAGGTTAGAGGTTAGGGACCATTTTTTTAATCTGTGGTGTATTTTGGTAGGGGAACCCTCCCCAAAAAAGGGTAAAGGGGTACTACTGGGGGACCTAGTCTGCAAAACCTTGGTTTTGGGTGCCGGCAACAAGCGCCTACGCGGCAGCAAGCGCCTACGCGGCAGCAAGCGCCTACGCGGAGTGCCTACGCACACTTCTCTCGCGCTACGTACTCTCAAGTCCCAACAAGTTTGTGCAATAAAACACGCCTAGGCGAATCTGCCTACGCGGGATTCTCTTGAACAACCTACGTGGACTGTCTGCGCAAATGGCTTCCCCCACCAGCATTGGCTCCGCAACATTAAAGGAGGTCCCCCCGAATACCAAGCGAATACATCGCAAAACAACTCTGCTCCGGTAGTGTCACTGATTGTTGCTAGCCTACAAACAGAAGCCCCGTCCAGGGATCTTCCTACCTCCTTCAAAATTCCAACAACAAAATTCGGGGTGAATGCAATTTTATATGGGTAGTTTGTTTTGGAGTTTGCAGGTACCAATTCCATGCTTAGAGCCAGTGTGCATGTGCCCATAGTGCTTCAGAGGTATGCTGGTAGCAGGTATGGGCCACGCAAGCAAACGCAGCCATTGAACATTCAGGCCGGAATGACTGTGTGCTTGCCAGTCTTTGCTGAATACCAAGTCAGTTTTGTGATTGAGCATGTGGGGCCCAGTCTCTCTTCAGGTCATTATCGTACTTTTCTGAGTGGATACCACCCGCTGCGGCAGTGGGTGTACTTCTTGGCTGATGATGAGAGCTTCCCAGCACTTGCTAACCAACACGACTTGCAACAGCTTGCTCACAATAGCTATGTCATAGGCCTCACCAGATCTGATGCTTTCATAAGTGGGTTGCCTCCAACAGCCCCATGATTTCTTGCGTGCATTGGGTGTCTGTAACCGGCAAGGGGTGCTAGGCTCTATGGGGCGGCCCTGCGCAGCGGTCACAGCAAGTGTGCAACAAGTGCCGACTTATATTGTTCATGATTCTTTCACAGGGGCCTTTTTGTATTTGAGCTGCTTGCTAGGGTACACGTACCGGAGCAGACATGCTCATGTGGGAGAGGGGGGTGCCAACTGAGCACTGCAGCTTAAAGCTGCCGGACCGGTGCGGTCTGCCTCCATGATTCGCGAAGCGTCCGGACGGGCGAGGCGTGTAAGAGAGAGAGAGAGATTCCAAGTGCAACGTAGCTCTTGAGAAGCCAGGTGCGTCTTTGTTGCATCAGAGTTTGACATCATAAGGTGGGTATTTTGACCAGTGGGTGGGGCTGTGGCGCAACCTGCGCTTGACACTTGGAGGTGTATTCCTTTTGTATCCTTTTTGATCCACCCGACCCCCTACTCCAACTATCGATATATGTCTTCTCTTTCTATGTTGAAGAAATCTCGGTGTCCATGGGACATACTTGGATTTTCAGTCAGGGATTCACATGATACCCGAGAATACTGTGGATGGACAGACTCCTGCACCACCCTTCCAAAACCCTGGAATGATCCGATTCTCCTGTAAATACTAAAATTCCAACAAACATGATGGCTTCAACCATGGATTCATTTTGTGGTGCGAAGGGAATTCACAACCATCCACAGTATGTCTGGCCACCTTTCCCTTTCCAACATCACCGCCATGGTCAAAACTCCGAATCTTCGGGTCATCCTGGGGCTCCGTAATGTTAACCCCGGATTAATTAACCCCTGGTTGATTAATAGGGGGGTGTCCTCTTTTAAATTTTAGTGGGGATTCATCACTTTTTCCCCACCAGCTGAAAGTCAAGTCTCAGCCCAGATAGGCTGCGGGGTGGTCCGGGGCGGCCCTGAGGTAAGGCTCCTTCCCAGTGTTCCACCAGGGTGCCACCAGGGTTCCACCAGGTTCTGCGAGGGCTGCAGGGTGGTGTGAGCACTAAAAAGAGCACCGCAAGCTGTTGGGGATATCACCTGAGCTTATTTATTGAACACCCCCTAATAATGGGACGGGTTTGTTCGTCCTGGGTCAACATTGAGGAACCCTACTCGGATGTCCGCTTCGCCAAGCTAGTAAGTGGCTAGCTACTAACCCACTAATAACAGGGCTAACCCCACTGAATGGGGCACTTATAAGTGGGTTGTAACCTTTAGGGGTTACCAACAACTTACTCACTTTATTAGTCCTGGGTCAACATTATGTGAAGCCCTGGGCTTTTGGACCCAGGCCTTCGATCGCTTCGCTGGGGCTCCCTGGCAAGCTGCTGAACGAGCTCTTCGCGCTGCGGCTGAAGGCCGAGTGTCGGCCTCGGATTTCCGGCTGGAGACCCAACCCGCAGACCCCCCGTGGCCATGAGAAATTCTGGGAGATTCTAAGGGGGGGGGGGGTACTTGGATGTTCGATTCGCAAAGTTAGTATGTGGTTGGCCACCTGGGTTGCAACCCACTCATAACAGGCTTAACACCTGAGTGGGGCTTATACGCGGGTTTACAACCTAGGTTACCAATTAACAACTTACTAACTTGGCCGACCACACAAGTGCGGAGGTGGGGAGGGGTCGGTGGTCCAAGGGAAAAGAGAGCCCTTGGGGTGTGGTCAAAGGCATACCCTTTGGTTGATTTATGTTGATGTAAATGGAAGGTCGCTCCGAAAAACGAGAAGCAAGAGGGCGCCACTTGGTGGGTCCTGTGAGCCAGAAAGGGCGTCGAGCTTCCCCAAAAGGAGACAAAGAAAGAGAACAAACCACCTTTTGCCGACTGGGGAAACCCGCTTTTTCAACCGACAAACGAAAAAGAACAGAACCTTTGGGTAAAAGATGAAATGGTCCATGTTCCTCTTCAAGGGCTCCTCTGCCCAAGGCCCAGTGCCGTGTTGGTGGGTGGTGCGGGTCCCTTACAAACAAAGCCAGACTCGTGTCATGTCATATCATGTCATATCATACTGTATCAACAACCATTCTGGATGTTTTTTTTTTTTCTGAAAGAAGAAATCCTCGAGTAAAGGATCCTTACCATGGTGAGCTCGTTTTACCAGGTGAGCTCACCATGAGTTGTGCAGAAACCATACCTCTCTTCGATCTCTGATCTGACAGGCTCTTAGGTACTGCCACGGTTTCCCGACTGCAGTTGTCGCTGTAACCGCCCCAAAGGCAAAACTTGGCCGGGGCCCCCGCCAGTGTCTCCCGTCGGTGTCTTAGCCTCCCTGTCCTGCCAAATTTCCGCAAGCGCTCCGCAACAACATTACTTGGCCCACATCTGGGCTTTGCGGAACATGTTTTTGGATGTGTTTTCCATTCCTTTCACCCGATTCCGGCACACGAAAACTTTGCGCGTAGCCACTTCCCAATGAATCAACGCAGTTGTACTCGTCCCATCCTGTTCACATCTGCGATTTTGGACTTCGGAACCTGAAAATACCCGAAATCAGCATGGGATCCCCAGTGGTCGGCTTCGCCGACGCATAATTACGGCAACGTGGAAGATTCCACATGGCATCTGCAGCAGGCTGTCGGTGCAGCTCACAAAGCCGTTCTGCGAAACATCGTAGGGCGTGCAGAGCGCGCGCCATTGGGTCAAGAAGGGAAAAATGCGAAGCCACGCTTTGCGCCCACGAGCGACTCCCAAGCGGCAATGTGTCCAAATCTGGTGACAGATCTAGTGACAGATCTTGTCACCGCTTTTGAGGGGTTCGAAGACCCATCCAATCCCTTTCCATCCAAGCCCCCTCCTGCCTCTATTTCACTACACAGGAAATCACAGCGGCATAGGCCCTATATGGCCAGGCTCTCCGAAAATTGAAAGAGTCGAATGCCGAACATCTGGACCCGCTAGTAAATCATCATGTCCTTTCCAGCACACCCAAAAAGAGTGCATTGGAGATTACTGGGGTAGCTGACTTCCCCAAATTGTCAGGCAACCCTCAGGCAGGGAATTGGATTAGTTTGGCCTTTGAATCCCTTCTTCAAGGTAAACGGGAAACCATCCCCTAACCGGGTGTCGACCTCCGAAACTCTGGGTAGGGGAGAGATTTTTCAGTCTTCCATCCATTTCGCTTTGTGAAATCTCCAAAGGTAGAAGTAAATTGATGAACTTAGGATTTGGCGAACCATGGGGGTTTGGCCCATTGAGAAGGGTCCCTTTGCCAAAAATTACGGCAAGCTCAGCCTAGTCTTCTTTAGTCTAGCAAAAACAACGCTAGAGAATTTGGGTGTGTCTTGTTTGAAGAATCGGACCCTCCAACATGCGTGGGTTTTCAATCTGGTTTCTCTTTAAAGCCACCAAAAAAGAGGTACCGAGCCTCAACAAAAGACAGACTCATTTGGAGGGAGTGGAACATAGGTCGTCGATGGTAAATGGGGCACAAAACCAATCCAAGCCAGCGGCATCTGGGTGCGTTGTTTTTTGCTTTTTTGTTTTTTTTTTTCCCGAGGGGTCCCACTTGCTTTTGTGGTTCTAAAGGGAAACACACATTTCATGTTGGGGGCATTCCCTAAAAAGGACACCCATCAATTTCCGAGCGAAAAAGAACATCTCTTCTGGAGAGGTTATGTATGCTCACCCAGCAACGGAGTTGGGGCGCTCGGAGCGGGATTTCCTGGCTCTCCTTCCCGGTCTTGAGGCTTTCCTGAGACCCGGAGACCGAAGACCGGACACTGCGAACCACGCACCCAGCCGGGTCTGAGTTGGTTTTGAGGCTCGGCACCCCTCTCTTCCAGGGCTGGGAACAGAACCCAAGGAAAAACCAGAGAAACCCAGCCATTTTCGGGGGTCGACCCTGGGAGTGAAACGAGCTCACCGCGGTAAAGATCCTGGAACACTTGCAGAAAAATGAAGGACACAGGGGAAACAGTTCAAACAGAAACCATGCACTTGTGGACCGTTCAAGAACGAGAACATTTGTGGGGTGGGGGGGGGGTTGTGGGGTACTTTCAAACCAAGTGATTGGAGTGGTAAAGGATTGGCGATTCTTCAGCCCCTTGTATTACTCCTCAATTGACTCCAAAACCAGGGGTTTCTGAAAGCTTCATATTCGGAAAATATACATTCTGCATCTGAAGGGAAGATGTGGGTGTGTCTTTTCCGAGGACCCCGGCAAAAAACAGACACACCCACGCATGACGGATTCTGCAAACATTACTACGATTCACACACCGGAAATAAGAAATAAGAGTTCCCAAGCAGAAGATCATCATCATAGGTGAGTTTGGGGCGAGGACCCCGCCAAAACTCCGCCCTTCACAAGTCAACCCGGTTGGTTCCAATTGATACGTAGACCACTCGTAGAGGCTCCGGAAAGGGAACTGAGGGCAAACCCTGCAAGCCCTATCCCTCGGGAAAGTACTGCTAAACCAAAACCTCTCAACGCAAGTTGCAAGCAGAACCTGGCCTCGGCTAAAAGTTTAACTTTTAGTGGTTTAGTGGAAAACCCATTAGTTGGCAAAAAGTTAAAGTCCTAACAGCCAAGCAACATGCACCAAAGAAAAGCATCTGGACTTTGATCAATCCCGAAGGAGAAGAGAACCATCCCGCTGGGCTGGGCGGTTGCCTCAAATCTTCATTGTTGCATGCATTTTTGTTTACATGGAACCCTCAAACAACATCACTTGTAGGGGCAAGCTGGTTCCATGCAAATGCAGACACCTCTACAAACACCTTCCCCATTCTTTCCAGGGATCCTTCTTTCTAAAAGACCTCCGGGAACCCAGAAAATGGATGGTTTTTGAAAAGCACCATGGTTGAAAAGAATGGCCCCATTCGTTACAGAGAAAACTGTTCCCCCTCCCTCTTTGGGGTCGTGTGCATTTGCAGATTTGCAGGGGCGCATCCCCCGGCTTGGTCTGGAGCTTCCTTTTCTCCAAGCTTGGATCAGGAGACTGGAGACCCCGAGTCTTCCCTTGAAAGCTTCCCTTCACACCAAAAAGCCGCAACCTGTCCAAGCCCACTACACCCGTAGATCTACAAACCTCAAAACCAAAGACCTCTAAACCTTCCACCAAGAATTCCTTTTGGCCTTCCTCTGGACCCCAAGCTGTCGCCTTTTTTGGGGAACCTTTGGTTTCACTCTCCGGGCGTGTTAAACCCGGCGAGTGGCGGGCGGCAGCGAGGTGCTGTTCGTAGAGTTCTGCTGGATGGTCTTTCCAGTGACCGCCGCGATCCTGCGATTCCGATCCGAGTCCGGAGAGAGTTGTCAGATTTGTCAGATCGCCTCTTGGGGCCGCTTCTTTTTGCTATGTTCCTTTTTTATTTGCTGCTTCTTCTTTGTTTTCCTTTTTGTTATGTTTTCTTTGTTCGGGCTGTTCTTCAAAAGGGGCAGGCCAAGCAAAGGAGGGTCTTTCAACAAAAACTTGCTGGTGCGATAGGTCGGGAATGACTCTTCCGGGTGTTGGAATGAACCGGAAGGAGATTCCCGAAGAAAAAAAAGGAAACCACCGAGATGGCTTGGCCAACAAACAGTCATCACCTGTCGTTTGCCACTACCGGTGCCTTATGGGGGGGCCTCTCTTGGGAGAAATCAACCACCCCCCACTTCAAAGTCTAAGATACCCTTTGGTTTTATGAAAGGGAAACCAAAAGGAAGCCCAAAAAAACTGTACCCTTCCTTCCACTAACGTAGTATTTGTGGGAGGGTAGCTGGAAGATCAATTGCCTCTTCAAGGGCTCTGTCAGGTGCCACGTTATTGCGAGTGAGTACGATGAAAAAGGAAGCCAAAAGGTGGTTGTTCAAAGGGTTCGACCCTTCCTCCCACATCAAATGAGAACATGTTCAGTTTCCTCTCAGGTGGGTGTCTCCTGTCCATGTTGGGGTGTTGACAAGTCTACCTGCGGCGGCTTACTATCCATTTTCCAAGTGGGCTTGTCATCCAAGTGCCGAACCCTCCATGTACCCCCCTTCTCCAATACCACCCCAGTACCACCCTGTTCAGGGTATGATGTTAGCCCTGAATATAAAGAAGGTGGTTCATCTCGGAATAAGTCGACTGGTCTCTGTGCACAATGGTGAAGCTGTGCGAAGCCTCCGGCTCAGCAGGGCTGGTTCTTGGTGAGACGGAAACTGACGGCAAGGATGGGCCACGTCAAGCATATGAATTACATAATGAATATGGACAGACTTGTTCGTCAGAACATAGAGCGTCAAGCTCTTTGAACAGCTGAACAGCTTCTCACACAAGCTGCAAACATTCTAAGGGTTGATTCCTTGTCCATTCTTTCCAACCATCGGTCTTTCCAAAAACCGGATATCCGTTTTCCCAGGGGTTTCCGGAGGTTTTCTAGAAAGAAATCCGGATCCCTGGGTTCAGAATGGAAATGGAAGGTAGCACTAGAAATATCCCGAATCCCACCCTGAGGGCCCTCCCTTTCAATTGGGGGGAAATTGAGAAAGCCTCGCGACCTTTTTTCCGTGCAACAACTTAAGTGAACTTGTTGCTGGCTGAAAAGGGAGAAGCCAAAAGGCAACAAAAAGTGTGTGTGTGTGTGTGTGTGTGTGTGTGTGTGTGTGTGTGTGTGTGTGTGTGTGTGTGTGTGTGTGTGTGTGTGTGTGTGTGTGTGTGTGTGTGTGTTTTTGTGTGTGTGTGTGTGTTTGTTTGTGAGTGTGTTGTGTGTGTGTGTGTGTGTGTGTGTGTGTGTGTGTGTGTGTGTGTGTGTGTGTGTGT